CGCCCAGCTTTAAGATACCCGAGCGCGCCAGAGTTTAGAGCAGTCGGGCGGCTGTGGGGAACAGACAGAGAAATAGGTCTGCCCTAGTTCCGGGTAATCGGAGGTAGCAGCGACAAGGCGAGTCAATCCACCGACCGTGAACTCTAATCTTACGGGATCTTTGTGCCACAAGTATCTACGAGCCTGCTCGTGACCAGGATCAAAGAGGATTTAACCCAGAGACCGGGGGCGCCGGCCTGCTGGAAGAGGAGGTAAAGCCTTCGGAGCGCGCAACTGGACAGCGCCGCGTGGCCGCTCTCGCTAGCCCGCCCCAGCGGGAGCATCGGATTCACGCCGAGGCAGGAGGACGGGAGGGAAAAGAGAGTTCAACCGACAGCATTAATCCGGTGACGGGCGAGAGCCTTACTTTTCATCGGACTGCTCTGCGATCAGAGAAGCAATCTTGTTTTCCTTCTCCTCCTGCTCTTTCAGCAACCTGCACCAGAGGAAAAGGACAGACGGAGTCACCTGCCGCGGAGGCGTTATCGCCCAGCCGCGAACGCCGCGGTCCCGCGTTCAGCCGACGCCGGCGCAGCTGCGCGCCCGCCGTAACAACGCACCCTGAAGACCGCACCGTTCAATAAACGCTGGAGAGCGACCGCTAACATCCTCCCGGGCAAGAATCTTGCCGTGTCGCGGTACTGCACGAAGACCGTGGCACAGAACCAGCGTCCCCCACCGGGCGCTGGGCTGCTCTGACACGACGTGCTTCGCAACCGTTCCCTCGGGGGGGAAACAGGGGCCGAGCCCTCGGGACCTTTACGAACAGAGCTTTATCCAAAGCCGTCACCGAGTCCCCAGGCTAAAAAACACGCGCACCTCTGCGACGTGACAGAACGGCTCCGGGAAAGCGCAGGTTCACCGCCCAGAGGAACCTTCAGCTCGCGACGAGCAACTCGCACCTCGCCTGCGTTAGACCCACCCCGGCTCCCGTGAGACTCCTGGCGGAGAGCGCGCGGCCCGCCTTACGGCGCAGCCCGACGGCAGCGGTCCGTCCTTCGAACCGTTCGGTGCGAGGCACGGTCAAGCAGCCCAGCGAGGCGGGAAATTTTGAGGAGGATAACTAGGAAAGGGCCGACGAGAGCCTGCCCCAGCAGCGCCGCCTCCCGCGGGAAGGCTCCCGATTCCGAAAGCCGGGAGCACGCAGAGCTGAGCTGCGCGCCGCCCCTGCCACGCGCTGCCCACGCGGACGCCCAACGGGCGCAGCGATAACCCGCTGCCCCGAAATTCGTCTTGAGACCTTCTGTAAAGAAAAGCGGCTCCGGCTGCAGGAGACGCATTCAAAGCCGTGCAGGTCTGTCCCAAACTGCTCGCCAAAATACTCGCTGCTTCCAGAAAGGTCACAGCGATCCTCTTTTGCTTAAGCCCCTGCGCATCGGGGTCAGGCTACGCCTTTTCCTCCTAAAAATCCCCCACCCCTACTTGCTTTTCCGTACTGATACCTTCTGCCTTTCTCACAGAGCTTCTCAATTTCTGCTTTCAGATCCTGCTCTTTCTGCAGGAATTCTTTCTTTTCTTTCTCCATCTTCTTCTTTGTCTCTTCTCGCTTGATCGTAACATCCTGAATGGCTTTCAGGATCTCCTGGAGCAAAACAAGCATCGCGCAAATAAAGAGCCAAATTCCCAAGTAGCGGGTTCGGTCTCAAAGCCGTTGTTATTTAGATTAATTGAAGAGAGATTACGTGCGCCGTCAAAATCGTTCTTTTTAGTAGCTCCAGACAAGGCACGTGGCGCTCGTCACGAGGAAGCCCAGGAGACGGACAGACAGACGGTCTAAACCGCGGGTTCTCCCGTCTCTTTAGAAGGACTTTACGGGGCACCGAGTTCTGCTCTGTTTCAGAGCGAGCCGATGGGCCGCCGCCGGCTCCTTTTGCCTTAAGGCGAGCTACCGCAGGGCCAGATGTGAATCGCTCGTTTAACCTCACGATCTGAGAGCAACGGGAACTAATTAAAAACAACCGCCGCGCTCGTCGACGAGGCCTTGCGAGCTCGCTGGCAGGAGCGGGTGCGCACGCAGGGCGCTGGGCTGGGAACCGGCTCTGAGCTGCTCAGCGCCCCGATTCGGGCAGGGGAGTCCTTAGCGCTGTAAAACAGCGCAGCACGCGCGAGAAAAGCGCCCCGCTCTGCGCCCCTCCGCACGAGGCCGAAGCAGCCCTCCTCAATCGCGCAAGCGGCAGCGCTACCGGGCGGGTTACGGAAAAGGAGGGCTTCGCCAAATACCTGGTGGTTCTTCATCTCTTCTTCCCTCCGCTGCTGGAGCTGCTTGAGCTGCACCTGCAGCTGATTCTCCACTTGCCTCTGCTTGTCCAGCACCTCCTGGTAGCGCTCCTTCAACAGAGCCCTCTCGGACATCATTTTGTCCTGCAGCGGAGAGCGGAAGCTTGGCTAGAACCCTCCCCTTCCCTCACGCGGCGGAGAGCGCGGAGAGGGGCAGGAAAGCTCCGCCGCGTACGAGAGCCCAGCAGGCGCAGCTGTCGGGAACCGCGGCCAAACGGCTTCCATCTTTCCGAGCTCAGGCTCTCTCGGTGAGAACAGACGAGGGGAGGCGCTGCCTGCAGCTGCAGCTAGCGCTGCGTTTCCTCCTTTGCTTAAGAGCTGAAGAACGCCAAGGCTGGTACGTACACGAGAACAAACAGCCCGCGGGAAGAGCAGCGCTCCAGCGCCTTTGCCCGGGGAACGGGAGCGCGAGCGGCAGAGCCCGGACCCGATCGCGGGGCTTCGATACCCACCAAGTTCTTCTCGACGTCCTGATCCGTGTTGACGTCCGCATCGGCCGCCTTGAAGTCAGTCTGCAGAGGGAGACGGCTGCTGTCAGCCCCCCGTCCTGGAGGAACGCTGCCCGCGCCAGGTTCTGGCTGCCCTTAACCAACCCTCGTCTCGTTCCTTCGCTTAGAAGCCGGCCAAAGCACCCGCGCCCGCCCTCCC